AAGGAAAAGGATTTTAGGGAAAGAGAAACCATGATATGGTATAAATCATATGCTTTCTCTACATTTTTTATCATTTGTTATATGTGAGATTTGATGTCAGCTACCTTTCCTCATCACATGGTATCCTAGCGCAAAGTACGAACAATATTCTGTATTAACCCTTAAAATGCTGATTAAAAGATCGTTTTGCAGGTCAACCAAGGCGTCACCTGCTCACAACAGGGTGGAGTGTCTTTGTTAGCTCAAAAAAGTTAGTTGCGGGTGATGCATTCATCTTCCTAAGGTAAGTATATTGTCCATGGTGGTTTTTTTTTTTTTTTTGCAGTTATTTTCTTGCTAAACAGAATTGTCAATGATTGATTGAAATACTCCCTGCAGGGGAGAAAATGGCGAGCTTCGTGTGGGAGTTAGGAGGCTCATGAGGCAACAGACAAATATGCCATCTTCTGTTATATCTAGCCAAAGCATGCATCTAGGGGTTCTTGCTACTGCTTCTCATGCCATTTCGACTGGAACCCTTTTTTCTGTCTTCTACAAGCCAAGGTTTTTGTGCAATTAGTTGTATTAAACCAACTACTTCGTAGTTCATCCATCCAATTTTCTTGCTTTCTTTTTGTTTTGAAGCCATTTGTAATTTGTAGTTACCTGAGCAACATTCAGAACTTTGCATGATAATTTGCCTAATGGTTTGTGTAGAACCTTTAATTGTCAGTACTTTGTAATTGCCAGCTACCTTTAGAAGGGAGAATCTCATAGTAACATGACTGTTGCATTAATGTGATATTGAGGAGAAATGTGAAACTGATGTTTATGTTTCTACTGTTATTTAGCAACCTCTGATTATAAGGTCTTTTCCTGGGTGTTTCAACTACTACCCAAATTGTATGTTTTCCCTTAATTCCCGCTTTCCAATCAGTAACTTTTGTCAGTCCATTTTTGGGTTGCTTGCTGTAGTTTCGGATAAGTATGAGGGTATACTTTCTCATTTATGCAATTCTTGTGTTGCTTTCTGAGATTCTTGCATGGATATTTCTTCTGAATAAAGTCTTTTATTTATTGATTTATTTATTTATTTTGTTTTCAGAACAAGTAGGTCTGAGTTCATTGTAAATCTTAACAAGTATATTGAAGCTCAAAACCACAAGCTTTCTGTAGGGATGAGGTTTAAGATGAGATTTGAGGGTGAGGAAGTTCCTGAACGAAGGTATGTCTTACTCTAAATTAAAACTTGGTTCAAGAATTCGATGACATCTTATAAATCATGATGGTCCATTATGCTACAGGTTTAGTGGCACCATTGTTGGTGTTGGAGATAATATATCATCGGGATGGGCTGATTCTGAGTGGAGATCATTAAAGGTTGTTTGGTTAATAGTTTATTAATTATGGATTCTGATATCCAGTGCCACCCCTTTTTTTTTTTCTAATTCATTTTCCAATTTCCAATGCCGAAGTATACTTGTCTTTGCTCATAACTGGTATCATATTGTCTGCCAGGTCCATTGGGATGAACCTTCTTCCATCTTGCGTCCAGAGAGAGTATCACCATGGGATTTGGAACCTCTTGTTGCAACTACTCCTTCGAACTCCCAACCTATGCAGAGGAACAAGCGGCCACGGCCATCTGTCTTGCCCTCACCAACAGCTGATCTTTCTGCACTTGGTTTGTCCACATCCCAAGTCATATTTCCTCATTCCATCTACTTGCGTTGACATGTTATGATAAACTTCCTGTTACCGTTGCGCTTTAGGTATGTGGAAACCTTCGGTTGAGTCTTCAGCTTTCTCATATGGTGAATCACAACGTGGGCGAGACCCTTATCCATCACCCAATTTCTCTACCACTGCAAAGGCCAACTCTCTTAGCTTCTGTGGCAATAGTCAAGTGACCAGTGTTTCACCGAATTCAATGTATCGGCCTAACCAAGTGGAAAGTGTCACAGATTCTTTTGCTCCAGTTGTAAACAAAGATTTGGGAGAAAGGAGACAGGGCACTGGGATTGGCTACAGACTTTTCGGGATTCAACTTATTGACAATTTCAATGCAGAAGGAACTTCACCAGTGGTTACTGTGTCTGGAACAGTGGGCAATGATCGCCAGGTTGAGTCTTTAGAGGCTGAGTCTGATCAGCATTCTGAGCCTGAGAAATCATGTCTGAGATGTCATCAGGAGTTGCAAAGTAGGCAAATCAGGAGCTGCACAAAGGTAAATCCCTTCGATCTTTTTATTGTCAACTAGAATGCTATGCACACTATCTTTTAGTTTTGCTGCCCCACCTCTGTGGAAAAAAAATTAGCAATTGTCGTAGACTTTCTCCATGAGACAATCATTACAGCAAACTGAAGTCTGGCATTGGATCGATAGCATGGATATGGAGTATGATACTTTTAATGTATACTGGTTGTGCAACTCTAGCTATGAATATTTGATGATTTATGTATCTTTCCAGGTTCACATGCAAGGTGTTGCTGTTGGAAGAGCCGTTGATTTGACACAGTTTGAACGCTATGAAGACCTGCTGAGGAAGCTGGAGGAGATGTTTGATATCGAAGGTGAGCTTAGTGGATCCACGAAGAAATGGCAGGTTGTGTATACTGATAATGAAGATGACATGATGAAGGTTGGGGATGATCCATGGCAGTAAGTTCATTTCACTCATTCTTATATTCTCAAGTTTTCATCCTTTACAATAATTAAAAAGGGTCATTGTCCTTGAACATGTAAGATGTTTCAGATTTTTTGTGTTAACCATGCTTAAAAATTAGAGAGAATCATATTGCTTTGTTGATGACTAATTTGCTATTTGATTGCAGTGAGTTCTGCAGCATGGTAAAGAAGATTTTTATCTATGCATCTGAAGAAGTCAAGAGGCTGTCACCCAAGGTTAAACTTTCAGGTGATGAAGAGATCAAAGGAGGCAGTGCCAATGCTAATGCCGATGCAGCTGTTAACACAGAGGACCGCTCATCCGTTGTTGGGCCTGGATGCTGATATGCCAACATGCCTGTGTTTTGCCATAAATGCCTGCAGTGGAAATATATAAAGGAATGATGAAGAGAACAGTCAAGGCTTTGTTTATTGCAGGGTTACAAGGAATGACCAGTACAGCTTCTGGACACGCAATGCCAATATCATGTCGAGATAGTGGATGACTGTTTGTCAATCCTGTCATTTGTAGAGAATGAGACTGTCTTTATGAATAGGTATTGGGTTTTGTTTATCATTTTGTTTTGTGAATTATATCATATAGTGCTTGCTTGTTTGGATTCAAAGCAGCTAAAAAGTTGTCCATTCCACCTCTTGTTCTCAACAGATGAAAGAATGGGAAATGTGCTATCTTGTTTTTTCAGTTTCCTGAGTTGTGTTTTGGTTTACACTGACTCATCTGTTTCAGTTTCCTGAGTTGTGTTTTGGTTTACACTGACTCATCTGCCTTTTGTGTATAAATACATATAGCCTTCTCATATCTGCTGTGCGGTGCATGTCTGTCGTTTTAGTTCTCTTTGTAAGAAGCTCATAGCGATTATTGTTGAATGATGCTGCTTGTCAGGCGATTATACAAGTACCAGTTTATATCAAATCAGAAGCTGCACCATCCAAAAACAATTAAAAACCTATATATGTTGTGCATCGTGCAATTCTTTCCTTTATAATTAGGTCCTCAATATAAAGCTGGCATTCATCTTCCCTAGGAAGTCGAAAGAGGAGAAAAGTATTTATATGTGGCCTGTGTATAAAACACCACCACAAGGTAATTTCTTGTAGTTTTGACGTGACAAAGGTGGCGGATTTCTGAGGCTCACAAGCAGCTTGCCAGAGAAACCATATGCAATGCTGCGAGATGTCATTCCAAAGATTTTTATCTTCTTTACGGAATCATGTAGTCTCTACCTTCGTTTGTGAAATGTTAGTCGAGTGTGACCGATTTTCATGAATCCTCAACTTCATTTGAGTGCTACCATGATTCTCTGGACACCTGTGGGCAGAGACCACCCGCTTTGATCCCGGGATGAGTCAAAGATTCGATGGTAGAGTGTGAGTGCTAAAAATCCCAGTTCCATGATCCACCACAGCTTAAACAACCAGAAAAAAAAAAATGGAGAAAAGAAAAAGAAAAATCATCGAAAAAACTGCGTGAAAACAAAAGCAATAGTTGTCCAAGATTGGCCTCGCCCACGCGCTCCACCACGTTCTTTTCAGAAACAGGAGGTGGGGCTAGGAGTGGATGAGCAACGGTCGTTAGATTTGAAAATTTTAAGCAAAGTTGAATATATCTACTTTAAAAAAGTCATAGGATGCGTTTCTTTGTAATAATCTTTTAGCCAAAGACACTCTCTCTAGCTTTAGCCACCACTTTCTCTCGAAGAATAACTAAAGCTCTCCTCCATTTCCCACAAAAATTGCAGAGCAAAGAGTAGAGACACGACCAGGATATGATAAAAGCAGCAAAGAAGCTCAAGAAGTTCTGGCCAAGAAAGAAAAAGAGGAAGAAGACCCTTCAATATCATGAACCCTATTACCACCATCCACCCTCATCATTTCATTGTTGCTGCTCTTACCCTACCGCGCCAACTCAACCCTCAGCTCCACCATTGCCACCATGGCTAGAGCCTGAACTGACCTACGAGGCCGTTTCTGCACCTGGGAAGCAGTCCTTACCTGAGCTGGGCCATCCAAGTCAAATCCAAGTTCCATCACAAGAAATTGTTATGGAAACAACTCCCATATATCCAACATTGCCGTCATATCAGCAATATCTGGTACCAAATCCTGTTTATGGAGTGCCTGTTGAGCAGAAGCCAAGAAGAGAGAAGTCAACTGGGTTTTTCGGATGTGTTGTCTCCTTCTGTGCCAATCTAATCAGTTGCTTCTGTCCATGTTTTCGCATTCAGGAAAAAAGTGAGTTTGTAGTGGCTTGAAGCCCGTAAAAGATCCATCCATATACACGCAATTTTTACTTTTATTTTTCACATTTCAAGATCTAGTGGATGCTGTTGTAATTAGATTTTAAAGCTACTGAAATAACATTTGTAATGCAATCTGCTGTTATTGTCATTATCATTATCATTTATCATCATCATCATTATTATTATCTCTGTCTAAGTTGCAAATCACAGTTCCTTGTTATTTTCAGAAGCTACAATTTGTAGCTTTTCAAAAGCCCAGATGGACATTGAATAAAATGAACTTATATATGGTTGTGGGACATTCAAATTTCTTTTTTAAAATTGAGGATACCTCCATTAACAAACCGACAGGGACAGAACGAAGAGACAACAGGCCAAAGAAGTAGTACAAGTGAGAAGATCATGAAAATCATCAGACGACAACACAAAATAGAGAGAAGAAATATGGCACCAGGCTTCATTACACCAATACCTTTTCACATTTTCATCAATGATTTAACATCCAGTCATTTCTATCACATGATCCATGAGCTCACAGCAAGATTGCGAGGGACAGACTTGCAACAAAACTGCCGATTGACTACATATATTGCACATGTATTGTGCTACATACAATAAATAAATAAATAAAGGGTTGAGGAGTAGCCACCGAAGGCTCATCAAGATATGAGCTACAGCTTGGTTGTTTCATTTCTTCATTTCTTTCTTCCAGAGGAATTCTTGCAATCACACTTTCAGATGCACTGGGAGCACGACACCTTCAAGAAGCATGTGCGTTGAAAATATCACAGATTCAACCATCTTCATCCTCCTCTTAACAGAGAGCTTTCCACATGCATCCACTGGAGAATGATTTGCATTCATAACAGAAGAGATCTTCTCCTGGCTAAAAAATTGGCTCCCTGGGAAGAACTACTTCTTCCTCCCATTTTTTTCCCCTTCAGTTTACACCGCAGATAGCAAAACAAGTATAATGACGCTGCAAACACGATGTCTCTCTTGATTTTAGAAACAGCTTCTTCAAATTTGGCCTGTAGCTCTGTTCCACCACTGGACTGACTTTGCTGCTTCTATAAGCTGCTGAACTTCCTCCACTCTCCTAGTTGCCCTGATCAAGCTGCCCTCAAAAACCTGTGTAATTTCCATGATGTCATAGAACATGGATCCTTTTGCCCAAGCATGCATAGCCTACATGAAATCAGGCCGAAATGAACTCACGAAATCCTCCACATCATTTTGCACCCTGTCATTTCGTTTGAAAAAGAAGGAAAAGAAATGGAACACTCCATTAAATGACAATGAGGAAATCAGTTTCCGAGTAGCATAGCATACAGTAGTGTAGATTAATCACAAGTCATGCTAATCTCGGAAAAGGGGTATAGTAACATGTACATAAACGCCAGACTCAATCCAAAATCTGTACAGCGCACTACAGGTGAACCTGTGACCGATTCTAAGCCCAAGAACGTGTAGTTCTACGCCTGGAGAAGTTGGATATCACTTAATGAAGACAAAGTACCCTTTCTGAGCATTTTTCTTTGAAATTTAAAGTTTTGAACCACCAGGAGTTCATTTTAAAGAGATAATGGTAATGCTCTAAAACACAGCAGTCGCAAAATTTATCTATATGAAACATGCCTTCAGATTTATCATGATATCCATATTACATACAAAGCACAAGGATCAAGAGAACAAAACCCCTGCCATGAAAAGATTCCATATTTACCTTGCATTCAAGCTGAAGTTTGACACGTGCATAGAGATTATTAATAAAAGTTGCTGGTAATATACACTCACTTTATTAGCAGAAAGTCAAGTCGCCCATATTCAGTACTTACTGAGGGATGTGCTGCCTGTTTTCTTCATCAAATATCAGCTGTTGGAAATTATTTTTCGAGTTACTAATTATTAACTTGTATATATAAACCAAAAGGTGATTAACATTAATCTCATTCTGTACTCCATTATTGTTGGACTAGACTTCTTTTTCTTTCTTCTTTTGTTTTATGTTTTAACCAATACAATGACGAGGAACGAAAGGATGATTACTGCGTGCTCCGGCCCTGCTGCTTCCCCGGCTTCAGCATTTATGGTATTGTTAAGGAAACGTCACCGGCAAGACGTGGTAGTGATCAACGAATTATTAGAGAGCAAAGCATCCATAGAAACTCCTTGCAGGGGATTATTATTCGTAGATGATAGCATAGAACACATCTCTTACTCTCAAATTTGATTCTGACTTGTGGGGGACAATGTAACGTTGGGGTAGTTTACTTGGGACGGTACAATCTCACCAACAGAAGTTTCGGCCGCCCTCGTGGCTGGGAAGAGAATCGTTGTGCTCCAGAATGAACCTGGACGATCACATCAAGGGACAACAGATTCTGTGACAGAAGGTTGGAATGAACATGATCATCAGGGCATGCATGATGATGACACATTGATTATTGAAGATATCTATCCGCTTCCTCTTCTTTCTCCGCTGTCATGAATCCAGGGACCATGGAGTACAACATTCATTATCTGCAAAGCACTAGCTAATTTGGCGGGAGATAGACGGTTCATTACATGACAGGGAGCGCGCAGGCGCGCTAACGGGTTGCGCCCACCTTTTCAAAAGCTATAGCATGTTTTCAAATCCCCCAGATGCGAAGCATTGAGCTTGAACCCCACTTGGCGAGACTTCACCGTGTTTACTTACCTCTGAGTTGCTTAACATTAGTAACTTAATTATTTCATATGTATATGAAACATTTAATTTATTTTATCAGAAGATCACTGTATTATTGTTTAAACAATGGTTTGGATGCATGCATGGCCAGGAAAAAAAGAAGGATCACCATTGCTTTGTCCAAAAATGTCAGATAATAAACCATGTTCCTGTTCTGATGAGGACATGAATCGGGAAACAGGAGGAGGAACATCTTGAGGACTATTGGCTTGTAGAAAGAACAACAGGGAAACCACATCAAGGCCTCGAAGATTAGCAATCCCACTGGATTGGAGGAGTCTGCACTTGTTGACCGGGGGGTGGTGTGGAGGGGGGGAGGACTCAAGCATCACAACTGTTCCCCAAACCACGAGAAAGAATTGCTTTTCCACTCGGGATTCAATACAACAAATAAAAGTGTCAGATCGAACAAAAATATAAAAATGATCGCCTCATCCCCCCCCACCTGTCAACTTGGAGAGAAGCAAATGGAAAATTTTAGCGTGTGAAATAATACATCTTGAAATCTAGAACTTGTAACTGCAATGCAATATATACACACCCGCACGCCTTTTCCACTATCACAAATCTACCAACCTGACGTGAGCTTCAGAAATGTTCCCCGCTGGAGTGGGAGCAAAGCATGCGGCCACCCAACAATAATGCACGAATAATGAATTTGTGTTTCAGGCTTTATCTAATATCTATAGGATGAACCAGATGGCGGTGGTGCGGGTGGCATCCGAGTTGGTGTCCGGCGGCTACCGTTTGAGCTTACATCACCATTCTGAGCTGGATCACTGTTTCTCCGACTGTGGGACCTGGATGGGCCAACAGGTCCATTGGCTGCAGAATCAAATGCATTCCTCCAGTCTTCTCCTGACGAGGGTCCATTTGTTCTTGGGCTGCTCTCTGCGTATATTTAGCATTGCAGGTATTAAAAGAGATCAAAAATCTGAAAACATTGCAGGAGTGACAAGTGATTCTCTTTCAATAAAAACAAGCAGCCTCCGTAACACTACAGCAGTCGTTAGGAGAAAGTCAAATGAGGCAGGCTGGCATTTATGGCTAGGACGGTTCACAGTGGAATCCCGAACCAACATGAATTACTCCCCCTACAAACCAAGTTCAACTGCCACCATCCACATTTAGGTTTTAGGACAAGCAATATTCATGAAATCAGATTCAGCAGCCACCACAATATGCAGGCAACAAATTAGAAATCAACTCCATAAAGTTACCATGTAAAATATATACTGATGCTGTTGGTTATGTTATTATGAAAATGCAGACTAAGATACACGTGGATGGACAAGAACCAACATATAGGTGAATTGCAGTGTTTGTAGCCACCATTACCTGCTCCACCACCATCAGACCAACTGGATGCAGCAGCAGCTCGATTATCATGGATGCTAAGTTGTCTAGTGAGTTTTTGAAGAAGAGAAGACTGTTTCTGATAACGTTCCCTCTTCCTCTTTACATTCTGGTCCTCCTGCAGCAGCTCCTCAATCCTTGCTGTGCTTTGTGTACTAGCCACCGAAAATTGA